AGTCTAGAGCCACAGGCTTACTCATTAAAGATGCTGACTGGTTTGGGGCAAAGGAAATAGTCCTCACCTCCCCCCTCATTTTGAGAGAGGTCCCAAGAGGGGAACAGGGCATTCAGACATGTACAGGAATTCATGTTTGACAAAAGGTTGACCAATCTCATAGGTTCTGCTCTGGCAGAACTTTATTCAGTGGAGGCTCCTGAGGCACAAACTACTTGAATCTTCCAGGAGGTCAAAGGTGCAACAGGCTGAGTCATAATAGAATGTTTTATTGCATGGTCCATCATTGGTTTCCCCTGATAGTAGCAGTAAGAGTGGGCGCACGGGGACCCAGTCTGGCTTATTCATCATCATTGAAAAGTGAGAGCAGAGGGTCAGGCAGTGGTAGACTCAGTTCTTTAGGAACTTGTTGGTCTTTTAGGCAGAGGGGACATTTGTCTTTTCAATGTCCCAGTTGTCTACATCAGGCACACTGGTGTGGAGCCTAAGCCTAGTGATGATTGCCTGTTTTGAATGAGGGACCCTGTAGGGCCTTGTTGTTTTTGTTCTGGTAGTGAGGTTGATTGTCTCAGGTTTCTCTGAGAGTGGCTTTCTCACATCATAGTCAAGAGGGCAGTCTGGTTACTTTTTTTTTGTACCAGGGATTGAACTCATGACCTCACACTTGCCAAGCAGGCACTTGTGCTACTGAGCTATATCCTTAAGCTCAGTCTGGTGACTGTTATGTTCCTTCCCCCGCAACCTCTTTCCCAGCTCACAAATATTGTCTGGGCTACTGGGAGTAACTGGGAGGCATTCATGCTGGAAAATCCATCATTTTTCCAAATATTCCTGTGGATATCAGGAGCACATTGTGTCACAAAGACTGAATTTATCATCTGCTTATTTTCTGGGGCCTCAGAGTCAAACAGGGAATAAGCCTGGTATGCTTCACAGAGTCTCTCATAAAATTTAGCAGCGCTTCCATCAGGTTCCTGGATAATTTCAGCAATCTTGGACATGTTAACACACACACACCCCCACACCCCCACCCCGCACGCGCGCTTTTACCCCTGTGAAAAGAGCCCTGTGACTCAGCCTCACAGCATTAAGGCCCTCTGCAGTATTGAAGTCCCAGTCTGGACAGGTGGTAGGAAAGGCAGTGTTTACCCAAGAGACAGGGTTAGCAATGGTGTCTGGAATTCTGGCCTTTAGCCAGGTTTGTCCCCTTTCAGAAATGCAGATATACTCTTCAGGACTGAAGAGGGCCAAGAGAACTTGTTGGCAATAATCCCAGATGGCTGATCTGAAAGGTCGAAGTCAAGAGATGAATCAGGGCTTTTCCAAGTAGCTGTGAATGTGATGCTTCCAGTTAAGGAGACCAGTGGAGCTGAAAGGTTGGCAGTAGTATAAAGCAGGTTGTTAATTTGGTCCCCTTTGACCATCAGGATACCTAGGAGAGGCATCCGGAGATGTGCGGAGGAGAGCCAGCAACAGGGCTCAACTCAGGTGGCCCTTGGAGACCAGGCCGTGCTGGGAGAGATGAGGACGGCAGGGAGAAAGCAGTCTAAACTGGGAGCATGGCCAGCAGTGGACTAGCTGGTATCTGGGGTGGTCCATTTGTGGCAGCAACATGGTGGGATCTGGGTGAATGGCTAGTGACTGGCTGGGAGCTACTTAGCGGCGGCCACCGCAGATTCAGGTTGTCACCCATATACGGTGGGGGGAAGTCATCCAAATTATCGGGCAGGGATGGGATACATATTTTTAGCCTTTCGAGTTTTTGTTCATCCAGGGGATTTGTGTTCTGGCTGATCTGCTTTTACTTTCAAGAGAATGCCTTTTTTCTGGCAGGCATAAATTCAGCCAGTAAGCGACACAAGGGAATTTTTGATTCCAAACGGGGCGAACAATTTCTATGTTCAGAGTGCCCTCTGGTGGTCCAACAGGGCATAGGCGTGGCGGTTCAGTTTCATAGGCGGCATTGAGGCGTTTTGGCTTCAGATTCATTCCGCAGTCTTTCATAAAGCAGCCTGTGTCTTTATTGTGTAACCCTTATACAGGTTGTTATCTCATATTTACATTTTTACCTGCTAGACACATTGGCGCTTGCATAGTTGCTCACTGTTAAATCGTGGTTACATAACTGTATCCTGCTGTGCACCCGTGTGAACCAAGCAGGTTTATGTCCTCAGTTGTCCCTAGGCACCCATAAGCTTTGAAGCAGTCTGAGTGCCCACAGGTAGTGTTTCTTAAGATATATGAAAGTTCTTTCCAAAGCAATACAAGCCATTGTCTCCTTTTTGTATGCAGCTATTTATTGTGAAGACCAGTGAACTATGGTATTAACATGAGAGAATTTAATTATTTCAAACATCAGTTGTCACTTGCCTCTTGGTGGAAGAATCAAATGGCTTTTTCTTTACTCCTATATTTTTAAACTAGCTTACAATATGTCTTGGTTACTTTTCTTTCGTTGCTGGCACAAAATACCCGACACCCAAAACAAAGGAAGGAAAAGTTTATTTACCTCACTATGGGAGGCTGGGGATTTAGCTCAGTGGTATAAGCGCCTGCCTGGCAAGCACAAAGTCATAGTTTGATCTCCGATACCAAAAAACAAAAAAAAAACCTTACTGTGGAGGTTCCAGTCCATAATCAGTTGACTCCAAGGCAGGGTGGCATGGCACCAGAGCAACATTTCAAGGCAGCAGCCAGCAAAAACAGCCAGAACAAAAAGAGGGGAGAACAGCCTCTTCTCCTCCCTTATATTGTAAGCAAGCTACTCCCACACAGGGCCGGTCCAGCACTTACACCACCCCTGTGCCCTCTTAGTCACAAGCTGAGGGTATTTACAAAGTAAGGATCCTGGTTCCCTGCTGAGTCTCTTAGTTAAATTTTCTAAATTTCTCAAATTGACACAGTGTATCAACTATAACATAATCTAAAGACGAAAGCTAAGGGGTGAAACCATTGCTATGTATTTGACATTAAATCATACTAATGAAGCATTTTATTACCAAAAGTTAAATGAAAACATGCTGTTGTAGGAAGGGTTTTCAAGTGAATAGATTTAATATAGGACATATAATTTATAGGATTAATTTATAATAATCACCCAAAAAGTCAAGTGCAGAGGAAAGCAAGATACCTGTTTATGCACCAGAGACTTAAAAAATCCAGCTGAGGGCCTGGATCCCATGGCAGTGTCCTGCATGAGACTAGCTGGGGCCTAGAGCCCACAACAATGTCTCATGCAAGTCTATATTAAGGATCTACATTGGGAAGCCCCAAAAGTCAGTGGTGGAAGCCAGAAAGTCTGTACCAGCAGGATAAAGGATCTGTGCCACCAGATTGAGGGATCTGCACTGGAGTCAGGAAGTGAAGCTCAAGGTAAGGACCAGAGCTCCCCCAAAGAGAACCACAGACACCCCCAGCAACCATGAGGACCCAATGATAACAGCTGAGTTCATATCAGGAAAAAGGGCATGACAAGCTTCTCCAGCAACATCATGCCATCTTCCCCTCCAGTTCTGTTTTTAATTTAATTAATTTAATTTGTTTAATTTATTTTTGGTACCAGGGGTCAAACTCATGACCTCGCCACATGCCAGGCAGGCACTTGTGCCACTGAGCTAAATCCCTGGCCCTTCCCCTCCAGTTCTTTTATGCTGTTGGCAACAATCCTCAGGTGGGCTATCCACACCCAAAACCACCCTGACTCAGATCAAGCTGGGTGTTCCAAGTGGACCATGTACCTCCCCTCTCTATGGTAGCTGGCTTGTGTAATATTTCCACTATTTCTCTTTATATTTTTCCCAACTATGTACGTATGTCTGCCCAACACGATTTAAATTTTTTCTTTTTGAGTCAGGGTCTCACTATGCAGTTCAGGTTAGCCTTGAGCTCACTTGTATCCCAGGCTTGTCTTGAACACTATTTAGCTTTGTCTGTTTTTTAAAAACTTATGGAAAGTGATTAGGTCCTGGGGGAAATGCCCTTATGGATGGGATTAATAGCATTATAAGAGAGGTCTGAGAAAGCCTCCTCCACCATGCAAGGTTATGACAAAAAGGGAATCACCTATGAACCAAGAAATGAGCCCTCGGCAGAAAACCTATCTGCTATACATTGATATTGAATTTTTCTAACTTTGAGACCTATAAGGAATAAATTTCTGATTTTTACAAGTCACTCAATCTATGGTGTCTTTACAATATCCTCAACTAACAATTTATGTATGGCTCCTAAGGACACAGGAATGAGCTATTATAGGCTGGGTGGCTTAAATAACAGAAATTAATTGTCTAACAGTTCTGGAGGTCAGAGGTACACAATCAAGTTGCCAGCAGGTATGATTCCTTCTGAGGTCCTTCTGGAGGAAGGACCTCTCTTGGCATGGAGATAACCAACTTCTCTCCACATCACTTACCATCTTCAGTCTATGCATGTCTATCTCTGGGCCCAACTTTCATAAAGAGATCAGTTGTTTTGGAACAGGACCCCATCCTTATGATCTCAGTTAACCTTAATTATCTCCTTAAGGGTTTTATCTCCAAATAGAGTCACACTGGAAGTTATAGCTTCAATATATGAATGGGATGAGGGCACGGTTTAGTCTGTAAGAGAGTTAAAGTGTTCCTGATTAGTAAGCTGGGAGTGTGGGGTGATGCTGGACCCCCCAACCCCCATGCCATAAATTCACTTTGCTCCAGGAAAGAGGAGCCAGGCTGAAACCCTGTGGAGTCTGGGATGGAACAGAGCACCCCATTTCTTCCAGGACCCTCAAATTTTCTGCTGTATGAACCAGGTGTTTTCACCATCCTGAGGATGTATCCTCTCTTTTTGGTTCACCAAGCATTTAAATTTGGGCACAAAACTTATTTCTGTGAGGCTCAGCTTCCTCAGGGGAATTTAAGGCCATTGTCCCTCAGGGCCTGCACCAACCAGCTTATCTCATGGGCACTGGCCCGTGAGCTGCCAGCAGGTGCTTCCTTCCCAGCCACTACCCCATGGCTAAGTAGAGCCTCAAAGGCTCACCAGGCAGACTGACTGCTCCCCTAACGGACACTGCAGACCCAAGAGAACCTGGAATGATAGTGACAGGAATAGAACCAGGGGTGCAATGGCTCCTCCTCTTGGAGGAGAGAAGAGGTTGCTGGCCCAGCCCCTGAGGGCCACAGAGCTCCGCGGGTCAGCATCATGTTCTGTGCTCCTGTCCTACTCATGCTACTGGCCTACTGCACAGGTGAGAGAACCCCCAAAGCCTAAAGCCCCTGCCCCTTCCCTCGCCTTGCCCTGCCTTGGGGACCCACGTGCTTCTGTGTTCCTAGGTTATGGCACTCAGCCTGTGCTGTATCAGCCTCCATCTGCCTCGTCACTCCTTGGAACTGCAGTCCGCCTAACCTGCACCCTGAGAAGTGACCATAATATTGGCTTTTACAGCATCTTCTGGTACCAACAGAGACCGGGCCAACCTCCGAGATTTCTGCTGAGATATTTCTCATACTTGGACAAGCACCAGGGCCCTAAGGTCCCCCCTCGCTTCTCTGGATCCAAAGACGTGTCCAGGAACCAGGGATATTTGAGCATCTCTGAGCTGCAGCCTGAGGATGAGGCTATATATTACTGTGCTGTGGGGACACAGAACACAGACAGGGAGAAGGAGATAGAGAAGGACGGGGGGGAAGAAAAGGATCCTGGTGCTTCAGGGTCCCAAGCACCCAGGGCACAAATACCTTGACCTGAAGAAGGGTTTGATGGGAGAAACTGGTATGGGAGAAGCATGAGCCCTAGCACTAAGCAGAGCCGAGGGAAACTGCTCACCTTCTCCTTATCCAGCGGTGTTGCTGTAACCCCACTGGTGGCTGGATTACAGAATTAAAGCTGTTTATCTTGGGAAGTTGTTTTTCTGAGTTTGAGCTGCCTGGTACATGATTTCATAGGATGAATCTGAAACCAAACTAGGGCAAAGGTCCTAGGAAACTGGTCAATCAGTGTCACAGGGACAGTGCTCTCTTGGGCTTCTACTCTCTGAAAGTCATGGATGAAAGGGGTTGATAAAAGCCCCTTGGGAGGGACATTTGTGCCAAGGGCAGGAAGGTTAAGAAAATGCCTTTAATGGAACTCTGGGGACGAGAACAGGTGCCAAGTGAATGGGTCTGGAGCAGTACTCCCCAGCTTGGTGTTGGTGACATTTTGGAACAGACAAATTGTTGTCATAGGGCTGTCTTTTGTATTATAAGACACTGAGTTCTCCAGGTTCCCCCAGCCCCCATTCACGGCATGTCTCCACACACCGCCAAATGCTCCCAGAGTAGCAGTTTGTCTCCGGTCTCTGTGTTTACTCTTCTGCACAAGGGGTGGCAGGTTCAGTAAAGGGCCTGGTAGGAACTATTTTTGGCTCTATAGGCCATACTGTCTCTGTTGAAACTACTCAGTTTTGTTCTTATAGCAAGAAAGCAGCCACAAATGACATCTGAACAAAGGAGAATGCCTGTGTTCCTAGTCACTTACGGAAAGAAATGGAGCTGGGCTGGATGTGACATGTGGCCCACAGTTGGCCAACCCTGGCTTTGGGAAATCACTCATTCCTGCCTCCAGGTTTCAGTTAAGCTATGCTTTGTGGGATCGTCAAGATCAGTTCCTCCTGCCTGATGACCCCAGGGATCTTGAACCCATGGAGAGATCTGGAGGCACAAGGGTCATGGACTCATGGAGGCCATACTGGGTTTGTTAGATGAAAGTTTAATAGGAAGGATTTCATAGCCGGTCCACAGGGTGACACCATGAACTCCTGGGTGGTGAGTCAGAATGTACCCTGCAAAGAGGGACCCTGTACCTGGGGCACTCACACAGTGTATGCATGTGCCTCACACTCCGGTGGCCTCAGCACTTGTCATGCTCAGGGACAATTTTGCTTCCGTTTCCTCAAATTCCCTAAGCCTCCCCTCCCCAGGCTTTGGCCCCCGACCGGGGCCTCTAGGTCCACATAAAGGCCAGCTGGGTGGTTCCCAAAGAACTCTGCCTTCTGCTAGTATCCTGATTCTCTTGCTTTTATCCTCTTTTATTCTGGGGTTTCATGCCATGAAAAGGAAGCCAGAAAGCAGGGAGTCAGACTCATCATCCTGTCACTTGTGCGCCTGTCACTGGCTCAGCGGACAATGATATCTTGGACTTTGGCCTCAGAACAAACAACTGCAGGTCTTAGCTCTGGCTAATCTTACCAAGATTAATTGATTAGGCCTAAAAGCCAATGTTCTGTGTAAAGGGGCCAGTAATAGTGCTGGCTGACGTATAAAGTACTTAATCTGGGCTTACCTGTCATGGGTGTGTAACAAAATTCTAGCCAAATCATTTCCTTATCAGTTACAGGGCTGCTCTTCCCTCCTGTCCAATCCTTTGCGTTTATCTGAGTCACTTCTCGCCTCGACTGTTGTTGATCCTCCTGCTCGTAACCCTGCCACTACCTGTGAATCCGACTCCTCATTTTATTAGTCCTAGATCCAGCCTTGCCTGCACCTCTGCTCTCTGACTCAAGACTGCCGTGCCCTAAGACACCTGTAATTTCCAATTTTCTAGGGGCTATATTACAGAAAAACAACTGGGTGCAGTGATATGTATCTGTAGTCCCAGCAACTTGGAAGGCTGAGGCAAGATTACTTGAATTCAGGAGTTCAAGGCCAGCCTGAGCAACATAAGGAGACACTATTTTTAAAAAAAGGAAAACAAAACTGGTGAGATGAGATGATTTCTAATGGTATATATTTATTTAGTATTATATGCCCCAAATATGATCATTTAAATGAGCAATTAATATAAAAAGCAGTTATGAGACTATTTAATTTTTTTGGTGTTTGAAATACAGTATATATTTTGCACTTTTGGCTCCTAAGTTTAGATAGTCACATTCCAAGTGGTCAATATTTGCCTTCAGCTTGTGGAAAGACAGCTCAGTTGAAGGGACAAAATTCAAACTCCTTAGTTCCAAAATTCAAACACGACCGGTGAAGGCTGTCTCAGCTTCTGTCCTAAACCCATACCTTGTACACCCCTCTATCGTCCATTTCTGCCATGTTAAGTGAGTTGCAACTGATTGGCACCTGATTATCTGGTTGCCACCAAACCTTTGCTCAGACTGTTTACTTGCAAGACTTCCTGTTCCTTCCTGGTATCTCCGAGGTGGCTGTGCCTACTCAGAGTTCCACAATGATCTCAACTCCCTCCCTGGCCAGAGGGTTCCCCAGTGTTCAAAGAGCTTGTTTTCCTAACTATTGAGCACCTACTGCACTGCTCTGACTTTATTTAGCAAGGTTCCCGACTGCAGGGGGCTGCAAGTTGTCAGTGGGTGGGGTCAGTTATGTGTCTGATAAACACTGGGTGAGAGTAGAGTGAATAAATGAATGAGTCAAGGAAAGTATGAATTTAGGGGTTCCAAAGACTGCTATTCTGTGATCCCAATTAGGTGGCTGGAGTCCTGATTATTATTATTATTATTATTATTATTATTATTATTCCTCTTCTTCCTCTTCTTCCTCTTCTTCCTCTTCCTCCTCTTCCTCCTCCTCCTCCTCCTCCTCTTCTTCTTCCTCTTCCTCTTCTTCTTCCTCCTCCTCTTCTTCTTCTTTTTCTGCTTCTTCTTCTTTTCTTTGTCTTTTTGAGACAGGGTTTCACTATGCAATTCAGGCTGACCTTGAACTCACTTTGTAGCCCAGGCTGGTCTCAAACTTGCAACAATCCTCCTGCCTCAGTCTCCCGAGTGCTGGGATTACAGGCATGTACCACCACTCCTGGCTCTTGGAGTTTTCATTTCTACCAGCAGGAAACAACCAACAAATCAAAATTTGAAAGCAAAACAATTATCACTCTTTAAAATAAAGAAAATTTAAAAGACAATTATCAAATATATCATAAGTTAAAAAGAGATAATATGGGAGAAAAGAAGAAAAATAGCACAGAACGAGTAAGGCAGGATGGGGCTGGAGATAGACACCTGCACGCTAGCGGTCCAATCACTCCCAGATGGGGCACAGATGGCTTGTCACTTTTTGGGGAGGGTCTTCCTCGGAGCAGGATGAATCATGGACAGACACCTTCTCCTGCCTTCTTATGTGCCAGTTCCATCTGACGAACTGATCACTGGGTACCTTGTCAGTCCTGTTCCTCCAGGGACACCATAGCGGCCACACGCTGCCAGGTCCCACCTTTTCAGTCCTGCGTCAGCCCTGCCCAGGCTCAGAGACAATTGGTCCGGGAGGGCCACCTCATCAGCATGACCCACTGGAAGCTTGTGCTGCCCATTTAAGTACTGGTGAGAGGGGCAGGCTGCTTTTCTCCAGCCCAGACCCCAGATCCAGGTAGTCCATCATGCTTTTAGGGCACCCTTACAAAGAGCTTTAGGGGGCCAGGGACGGAGATCAGAGGAATAGTGCCTGCCTGGCAAGCACAAGTTGTGAGTTTGATTCCTAGTATCCCCCCAAAAACAAAAGAACTACAGGAGGCTTTTACATAAGGTTCTACCTCTTTCCTTAAGTCGAGGTCTTTTTGTTCCATTCCTTTGTTCATTTTTGCTTCATATTACTTTTAAAAGCTGGTTATAGCATGAATATATCCTATTTATTCTTTTAGCATCTTGATTTGTAACTTGCTTAAAGTTGGAAGATTTTTGTTTGATAATTGGTGAAAAGTCTATGTATGTAGGTATGTTTTTCTCGCCTTTTTCTCACCATCCAACACTGGCATGCTCATCACTTTGCATTACTGTACGGTAGGTGTATTCTTCCTGCACTTATTACTCATTGCTGATTATGCTTATGACTGAGCATCTTGGACAGCACCCCGTATAATAGACAGTATATACTCTACACATTTTTTCCATTATTTAATAATAGGTTGTTGGGGAGGTCACTCCCTTGTCCTGTGTCTTTGGCAAACAGGCCAAGAGAAAGAGAAAGACACTGTCTCCGTCGGTTTCTTCTTTCCATTTTCTGTGTCTTCCTATAATGAGAAACTGTGGCGACAGGAGATGTTAGAAACAAAGTGGAAACCATAGTTTCAGAATCCTGCTGGGCTGGTAACAATCAGAATGGCTACAGGTTTAGTGGAGTCGCTGGATCAAACTAAGCCTGAAAATCATTTGCCCTTGGCTCTTCACTGTCGCATGCCAGTTCAGCCCAGATGTTCCGATCACTGTCATGTTTTCTGTTCCACGTGAGAGCCAGGGCAAGGGCAAGGTCTGAGTCTCTCCTGATTCCGCAGAGTCCAGCCTGGGCCAAGGCCTGTGACCCCCTCCTATTCCAGCCACATTGGGTTAAGGATGTCACCTCTCTCCCTGGGCTTCAGTTTTGTCCTTTGACCAATGGAAAGAAAGACAGTCCAGCTCTCCAGGGTCTAGGTGACATAGAACTGGTAGAGCTCAAGCCTAGGCACCTCGAAGGTCCCAGTGAGGGCTAGGTACCAGCCCCAGCAGCATTCCCCACCCGACTGCCTGCCAAAAACAACAACAACAACAACAAAATAGGTCATTGCTATATACTGACAATTCCTTGACCAAACTTTAGCCAGGTTCCTGTGGACCCATTTTCAATTAGACCTCAATCTTGGTCTATACTGATTTGAACAAACACTTAATGATTCCTAACTGCTCAAGGCTACATCTCTGTAATGATCCTAGATCCTATTAAAGTGCCTACATGAAGAATTCGCTCTGTTCCAGACACCTGAAGATAGGAGCTCTGTGTCCCTGGCTCTGTGGGAAGCTAAGAGCCTAATTTCAGTGAGTCCCCGTTAAAAAACCCAAAATGGGCTTCACATGGACAAACCACCTTTCTTTTGCGATTTTTATCTTTGCTTGAGCATTTCTGAGCCCACTCATCTCCTTTATTACTCCAATATTCATTCATTCCCTCTCTCTCTCTGTCTCTCTGTCTCTCTGTCTCTCTCTCTGTCTCTCTCTCTGTCTCTCTCTCTGTCTCTCTCTCTCTGTCTCTCTCTCTCTGTGTCTCTCTCTCTTTCCCTCTTTCTCTCTCTCTTTTAATGGTAACAATGCTTTATTAAAGGTAGGAAAAGAAACAGGATCTACAGAGGGAGTTTGGGCTAAGTCAAAACAGGAAAAGTACAGCCTACCGCATGAAGGTGGGCCAACCTGCAAGAGAGAACAGAGTGGGTGGAAGAGTCCGGGCCCTGTCCCACCCCCTGGACTAAGGCCCTGAGGAGAGCTGTTCCTGAGCACTGGACCACTCTCCATCACCCCTCCAGGCTTTAGGGACATGCTCCACAGACTCAGAGCCCCTTGGGGAAATGGGGAACCAGAATAGGGCAGATGTACCCCACCCACGGCCCCAAAGGTGGTAGCTGTTGTGGGAAGCAGTTGAGCCCTAGTTCCAACCACAGAAGGGCAGTTAGCAGGTGTCTCTCTGATACCCTTGGGTGAACAGCCTTGGGCCCTGGAGAGGGGTGGGCTGGGGCGGGGACCCAAGCCCATCCAGATTGAGGATGAGCCATGTTTCCAGATCTGTATGCACTGGCTACGGCCAGCAGGAGGGCTAGGGCCACGTCCTCCAGGAAACCCACAACGCAAGTGGGGCCAGAGGTGCCTTTGACTGAGGACAAATGAAGCCAGGGACAGGCCAGGTGGGCTGTAAGGTCCTTGGTGAGCCAGGCCTTCTTCCCAAGAGGTACAAGGGTCTTCTGCTGCTGCTACTGGTACTAGGCCTGGCCAGGGGCACTCAGGAGCCACTGGCTCTGACAGCAGCACCACGGAGCAGGACCCCAGGCCCAGGGGCCTCCAGCCTGTGGAACATATGGGGAAGGTAAGGATCCATGAAGATGGTGCTGGGATGTCCCTGGGAGTGGGCATCTCTGGGGTGGGATTAAAGGTGGACAATGGAGGAAGAGGGACCGGGGCAGAAACTGGCTTAAAATATTTTGTCCATAATGGATTTATTTGCATTATCTTAAAATTTTTAAGTATTGTATTAAAATATTAATTTCTGAGTCTTCTTGCACCCCTTAAATTTTGTCTCAAGGCTACTGCCTTGCTATCCTTACCCTAGTCCTCTGGTTGGGGCAGAAATGGAGGGCAGGATGGCTGCCTGGATAGGCGATGGCCACTGTCCAGGCAGGGTTCTTGTTTAGCTCCTCCTAACCCTAACCCTCCTCTCCTCTTGTCCTTTCTGCTCATGACCACCTCTAAGCCCTTACCTTCACTCCCTGGAACACCAGGTCTCCAGACCCTCAGCAAAGATTCCATCCAGGCCCTGTTCCCCGCACCTGGGATCCCAGGTCTACCCTGGTGAAGGGGCCTTTATGGGAAAAGGCCCAGGTAGAGTCTATGGGGCCCAAGATGTTTGCCCCAGTCCCTCGTCTGTGTGTGGTTGAAAGTCCCTGGACAGTGCTGAGCATCTGGTCCATTTATGACAATCTATGATACGACAGCCTGTTCATCGATGGTGTACTTCATACCCAATGGATACAAAACATTGTAAGAGCAGAACTCCCCTCTACCCTCAAGGGTCCCATGAGACAGGTTGTGCTGCTATCCCCATTTTTACAAATGGGAATAGCTGATCACATCGAGGCTTTTATAGGTAAATAGATGCGACTTGAGACCATACACATAAGTGAAATGAATCAGGCTCCCATGTGTCAATACCGTATTGTCTCCCTAGTGTAAGAAAATAAAAGAGTAAATAAGATCCAAAATCTGTAAGAAATATTGTGGGGGCTGGGATTTAGCTCAGCGGCATAAGCGCCTGCCTTGCAAGCAGGCAGTCGTGAGTTGGATCCCTGGTACCGATAAAAACGAAAAAGACAAAAAAAAAAAAAAAAAAGAAATATTGTGAAAGGATAAGAAACTGTTCAACGGGGAAAATAACTGGGATAGGCAGGAGAAAAGAAGGAAGGGTAAAGAAAAAAGATATAAATTTGGTTATATATACATAAGATAGCTAAGATGATTATACTACAAATTCTAGTAGTTCTTGGAAAAGAACAGTTAATACTCATATGAACAGATCAATTTTGCATGTCTATGTTTGGTAATCTAAGCAATTCTTTTAAAAACAATAATATGCAAAAAAACCATTATTACATTCCTATCATCTTGTTTTGAAAGCCTATATTGTTACTGTTTGGGGTTAGGATTTTTTTTTTTCTTCTTTTGCTTTTTTTTTTTTTCTTGTCTGTGTTTTATTTTGCCCCCACTTAAAAAAACAACAAACACACAGGAATAACAAACAGAGAGGTGAAGTGGCCTGCCTAAGGCCACTTGGCTCAGAGCCCAAGCCCCAAGCTTGACAGCCTCCAGCTCTCCTCTCTCCCCTGGCAGAGCTGATAACTTCAGTAATGGGAGGGACACTGATTGGATGAGAGCCTCGCAGCCTGACACCTATCTTGGCACCTGCCCGGTGAAGGTAAGGGCTTAGAGGTGGCCATGAGCAGAGCAGGGACAGCTGCTCAGGCTAAGCCCCATCCCTAGAGGGTCGGCCCCAGGGGAGTCCTGTGGCGTGTTTGTAGGGGGGTTACCTGACTAGACTTGGATGGAGAGGCAAGGGTGGAAATCTGTACCTAGACAGACCCTAGGCAGGGTGGCCTAGTGACCCAAAACTTGACAGCTATGGGGACATAGTCAGCAGGTATGCTAGACAGGAGAGGAAGGAATAAGGACCACTCCCTGGCTTTTTTGATGAGCACTTAAGGAAATGTTATAATATATCAACAAGTATTGTATTTAGGAAAAAAAAAAAATCCAAAAGCAGGAGGGGGTGGTCTGCAGGCACACTGAGAGGCGGTGCACTCACTGACTCATTTATGCACATTTACTGGGGAGCAGGCCTGGAAATGCAGAGGGTACGCCTGCTGAGGACAGACCCATGGCCTGTTTTAGGAACAATGTGTGTGTGGAGCGGTGCTTCGCCTGTGGGCAGAAGCCTAAGCTGGTCTCACACATTCAGGCGTTAGCTCCTGGAGGAAGGAGAGACCTCCTGAGGGTCTCCCATGCCCACCCTTTATTCTGTGGCCTAGGAGGCACTGCAGGGGTCAAGTAGAGGATACTGTAAGAGTAGGACCTGATGTTTTGAAAATATTGGCTCTGGTTGAGAGATTGGTGTGACCAGATCCAGATATGAGAAACTGGTCAGTGGCCAAAGGAGGAGAAAGGACGGTGGCCCCCATTGCCAGAAATGGTGAGCTGAGAATGCAGCCTGTGCCTGGGCACTGGCAGGAGGCCACAGTCCAGCAGGCAAAGGCCAACATTCCTGCAAAGTTGCAAATGAATTTAAATCGAGGATGTGAAAGCACTGTCCATGGGAGACAACATTCTCAAGACTCTCAGTGGGAGACTGAGTTTCTGAAACAAAACTGTAGCACCATGTATTACATTTCATACAAATGTGCATCGATTTATTTATGTTTGACACAGAGTCTTACTATACATACAGTTCAGGTTAGTCTTAAACTCACTTTGTAGCCCAGGCTGGCCTCAAACTCGCATGATCCTCCTGCCTCAGCCTCTCATGTGCTGATATTACAGGAATGCACCACTGTGCCCAGAAAATCCCTTTTAATCTAGTAATTTCACTTCTATATCTTAAGGAAAAAATCAAAGTTCCACTCAGTATCATAAATGTGTTCATGAAGAAAATGGAAAGAACCCACATGCCAAATGATAGGGGAGGTAAAATAAACAAGGTACATCCATGGTATTAAACAGTCAATATGTTTTTAAGGATTCTAACAAAAAGATTTTAAAACAAACTATAATATGTCTATTTTTCTATTTTATTCACACAATAAAATTCAGTTTTTAGTCTAGTAAAAAAGTAGTGTGTTTTCAAAAATCATAGGATCTTGTGACCACTTCCACAGTTAAATAAAGAATATTTCAATCAACTCCTCCAATTTTCCTTAATGCCCTTTTTTTGTTTTTTTCCACTTAAAAGGAGTTTATATATAAATATATTTAATAATTTAAATGAAAACAGGATAGCTAAAATCTGTATATAACAGTATAACCCTTAAACAGAGATCTCTCTCATACACAAATACATAGGCACATAATCAAATTATTGACAGCCAATGATAAAGATTTTTTATTTAGAGAAAAAAAGGAAAACAAAAAGGTAGAAATAATATAGAATTTAAAAACAAATAATTTGTTGATAAATTACATATTGTTATCTTAGAAGTAGTTGTTGAAGTTACAAAATCAAAGCATCAAAATTGGACAATCAAACAATGACAGTACAAACTATTCTGTTTGATGAACTAACAAAAACTTAGTAGTATGGTTATCTATCCTGCACACTTAAACATACGTATAATTATATCCTTTAGAGCACTTTCTTTCCCTTTCATTATTATAGTATCTTTTATATGTTTTGGATCTTACTACTGTTTTAGTTTTTTATTATTTTTTATACTAGAGACATAATACAATATTTACAAATGTAAGTCTGATTTATTTCACTTATGAGGACAGTCTCCATTTACCTATAAAAGCCTCAAGATCATCCTTTTTATAGCTGAGTAATATTTCATTGTATAAAAATATCACCTTTTTAATACATTCTGTGATTGATGGGCACTTAATGCCCTTTTGAAATCAAACTTTTTTGAGGTCATTCTAGATCCATATGCAGTTTTAAGAAATAATACAAACGCATCCCATGTACTGTTTCCCTAATGATAACACATCCTAAAGCTATAGTGATATATACAACTGGATGTATAACCTGACAATATTAAGTGCTAGTGAAGATGTGGAGCAGCTCTTTTATGTTGTAGGGATACAAAAAGTAGACACTTCAGAAAACTTTCTTTCAATTTCTAATGAATATATAATTAAGCATATTAAGGAAATCTGACTCCCAGACATTTATCCAAGTGGCATGAAAACTTAGATTCAAACAAAAACTTGCATGCACATATTTATATAAGTTTTATTCATCATTGCCCCTAACTGGAAACAACCCAAATATCCTTCACTGAATGTTAAACAAATTGTGCTACATTCATTAGATGAAATCCTACTTAGCAATGAAAAGGGAACAACATGTTGGTAAATGAGATAACTGGATTGAGTTGCAAAGATGTTACACTGAACTAAAGACAGATTCAAATACATTGATACAATCACAGGACAAAACCTTTCTGTCGCCACAAACATCGCTCACAGTTTCATAGCAATATTCACTTCTATTCCTCCAAAATCCTTCCTTAGCCCCTGGAAACTACTACTGTTATCTCCATTTCTATGATTTATCATTGCAATAACTGTGTGTGTGACAGGTGGTGGTGGCGGTGCTAGGGGTTTGCACATGCTAAATCCTTGCTCTGCTATTGAGCTCTGTCTCAGCCTGTGTTCTATAAACTGTTTTTTTCACTGATAGTCCAAGTATGTAACCTTTTGACTGTGTCTTTAGTTCAGTGTAAACAGGGTTAGGGTATACTTAAGTGGGGTATACTTAATATGAGGAAGACCCTGAGCTCAATCTCCAGAACTGAGGGGGGGGGGAATCCAGCAACTCCACTATAAGGCATATATTCAAAGGAAATAAAACTGGTTTGTTGACATGTCTGTACTGAAGCACTATTTACAATAATCCAGATCTGGGGTCAACATAGAAAAATCTCTATCAATGAATGAATAAAGAAAATGTGATAGATATGTGTATATAGATAGATAGATATAGATATAGATATACCTAAAGGAATACTATTCATACATTGAAAGAAGAGAATACTGTTATTTGGATGTCATAGATGAACTGGAAGACATTATATTGAATCAAATAAGTCTGGCACAGAAAGA